CCCCCCCCCCCAGCGCTCCATTTTTTGGCCTCCTGGGCCCCAGGGAAGCCTTCTGGGAGGACATTTTTCAGTGGTGGGATTCAAAAATTTTTACTACAGGTTCTGTGGGCGTGGCTTGGTGGGCGTGGCAGGGGAAGGATGCTGTAAAATCTCCAGTCAGAGGTGGCATTTACCACTTCTCTGAACTACTCAAAATTTCTGCTACTGGTTCTCCAGAACTGGTCAGAACCTGCTGAATACCACCTCTGGTGTTTTTGCTCCCAGGAGGCATCCCTCAGGCACAGGAGGCCAAAAATGGAGCGTGGGGGAGCACGCGCAGCACTCCCTCCCATCCACCTCTTTTGGCCTCCTGCCGCCTCAGGGAAGTCTCCTGAGCAAAACAGTAAGACAGCGAGGGGAACAGCTGATTGTAAGGGGGGGGCGGGGAGGAAATGCCTTAAGAAGTGACTGGATGGGGGAGAATGCAATCAGCGATGTGAGGCATGTGTGCGATGAAGACTGACTGGATAGGGAGGGAGAGGCGGGGCAGGTGGAGATGGGCGGGGCCAGCCAGGGGCACAATTTGCCGGTTCTCCAAACTGTGCAGAATCTTAACCGGTTCTATAGAACTGGTCCAAACCGGTAGAATCCCATCCCTGGAGTGTACAGTATATTCCATGAAGCTTATTCCCTAATACAGTGGCATTGCTGCATAATTCTAATAGAGATTCTACATCAGAAGCATCACTTTTTATCTTGATTTTAGACCCTTTTCTATCAAATTGATATTCTATTTTAGCTTTCAGAGAGAGAAGCAGAAGTTTTCCACTTGCAGGTTCATTTAAATTCCATTCCTATATTATATGGCCATACTTGTAAAAAAAAAGCCTCAATATGAGATGGGCACTGCAGCATAACATTAACAGGAAAAAATCTATGGAAGGCCATCAGTTGTTTCATTAGAAAGGAAATGCTGCCACTAGGGGTTCAGCATAACTTTTTTTTTCAGTATTCAGCAATTCTGCATCTTATTTTATGGTCTAAGTATAAGAGGCAGGAAATGAAATAAAAATCTTGGAAAAGAAAAGATGAAAAGCTGATTTTAACAAGCAATTTCTGAATATAGTTATGTCAATGGAGCAAATCTTAACATGTTTGAAATCTGTTAAATAATCACAAAAGTTTTATATACACTGTCCACTACTATCACTTGCACCAACAAACATAATGCTTAGCTCAGAAAGATATGTAGAAAAATTATGCTAATCGTACAATGTATTAGAAGCAGAATTAGCATAGCTTGACTTTAAGGTGGTTCATGTTTTGCTTGGCGTCTTCATTAGAAATAGCACGAAACTGAATCCCATTAAAGCATGAAAAGCACAGAAATGGAAGTGGTATAATGGAACACTAAGCTCCACTTGTTGCAAATACTTTCTTGGCCTATGACCACATATGAGCCCCAAATTTCCATTTTGGGCTAAGCAAGAAAGTTAAGTGAGTTTTATCCCATTTTCCAATCTTTCTTGCCAGTTAAGTGAATCATGGCAGTTGTGAAGTTAGTTATCATGGTTGCAAAGGCTTTCCCATTGACCTTGTTTGTCAGAAGGTTGTAAAAGGTGATCATTTGACACCAGGACCCTCATAAACACATGCCAGTTGCCCAACAGCTGAATTTGGTCACATGACTCTGGAGATGTTACAACAGTAGTAAGTGTGAAGACCAGTCATAACTTTGAACAGTCACTAAAGGAATGGTTGTAAGTCAAGGACTATCTACACTACTCGTCAACTTACAACAGTTCTCTTAGCGACTGTTAAAAGTTACAACAGCACTGAAAAAAGTGAGTTATGATCTTTTTCACTTACGACAGTTGCAACATCCCCATGGTCATGTGATCAAGATTCGGATGCTTGGCAACTGACTCATATGTATGACGGTTGCAGTGTCCCGAGGTCAAGTGTTCACCTTTTGTGACCTTTCGACAAGCAAAGTCAATGGGGAAGCCAGATTCACTTCACAACTACATAACTAATTTAAGAGCTGCAGTGAGTCACTTAACAACTGAGGCGAGAAAGGTCACAAAACGGGGCAAAATTCCCTTAACAAATTCCTCCCTTGGCAACATAAATGCTGGGCTCAATTTTGGTCGTAAAGTCGAGAACTCCCTGCATAAAGCGCAACAGAGGCATGACTAGAGGGGAAAAAAGTGCTGGCTACAGAAAAAAAACAAGTCGTCGGAACAAGGTTGACAGTCGATCACGTCCTCTCCTTTAGAAATTTTTGCCGCAATGAGGCACGGCGTTTAACAAAGCACGTCTGGAAATGGCTTCCACTCTCGGCTTTGTTTGCTTGGTTGTTTGTTTGTTTGGTTTGGCTTTGCACATGAAGTTCAGGAACTCGCATGGCCTCCTGAGGAAAAACGAGAACAAATCTCGGGCCCGCTGCGCGCGCTCGCCTCCTTCCCCAGCAGATCCTGCGCTTCTCCGCTTCCTTCCCGGCGGGTCACGCTCCAAGTGATGCAACGGAGACGGGCGCTGCGCCTTTAAAGGGGGGGCTCCTCGGCTTGCCGCACATGCTCAGCTCTTCTTTGTGTAATAGTTTCTTTCTAGAGCTCCCCTGCAAAGGCGGCGGAGAGGCTGGAGCGTTGCAATTCCAAAGCCTGAAAAGAGAGAGAGAGAGAGAGAGAAAGAGACTTTCCTTTCGATTTTGAGGCCGCCAGAAACCGGAGCACGAACTTTCCCGGGGGCGGAAGGGAAGCGCGCTCCCTTCACTTTCGGCTGGGGCTCAGAAATGGAAAGGGACCCTTAGTGGCTCTCCATCCTTTCCGGGGCAGTTGCTCCAGCAACGAAGCGGAGTCTATTGTAGGCTGCGGGGCTTCCTCCAGAGAGGGGAGCCACAGCCGCCGTTCTTCTCCCCGGCTGAGGCGGGGCCTGCCTGGTAGTCCAAAAGAAAAAGGACGGATCTAATCAGACCGGCGGAGCTGGAGAGGAGTAGGGTGGGGAGGAGGAGGAAGAAGAGGAGGGATTCGGCCCCAGCCAGCCAGTCTCCGAAAGCAGCTTGCAATTAGCCTTTTAAAAATGGCTGCTTTCAAAGTGTCAGCTGGGACAGACGGAGGCTTTTAACTCTCGCCCTTCCTTCCGCCCCTCACACCCCGGCTTGCAAGGCGGGATAAAAAAAACAAAAACAAAACACCAGAACCCCCGCTTCCCTCCCGGCCTCCGGCCCGCTGCTCTGCGATGCTGGGAGGACGCTGAGGAACGGCGCCCTCCTTGCCTTGAAGGAGCGAGAGCATCCCCCCCCCACCTCCGCTGCCCTCCTTGCTCTCCCGTTGCTGCTGCTGCAAGAGTCGGGACTACAGGAGGCGGAGGAGAGGGGCTGCTTCTTTTTTTTCTTTTGCGGGCGCGGGGGGAACCGGACGCCATGTGGTGAGAAGAAGCGGCGAGGGCAGGAGAGAAGCCTCCGCTCATGGAAAGTGGGGGGCAATGAGCCCCAAGGACGACGAGGAAGAGGAGGCGGCAAGCGGGTCGCCAGCGTTGTACCTGAAGAACCCGGCGGAGATGGTGGTGTGAGAAGCGTCGGTGAGGAAGCTTCTCGGTTTCCTTCGGGAGTCTCCAGCCCCTTCCCTACCTGCGCCCCGTTTCTTCAACCTGTTTTAAAAGCCCCTTCTTTGGAGCGATGTGCGTGGGGCGGCTTTCCTCCTGTTTAAACCTCCCCGAGGAACTGGATTAATTCAGCCTTCCTCGCTCCCCTGTCGCGGTTCGTCAGGCAGGCCGGTTGCGGATGTGCTTTGTGGGCAAAGATGCTGGATCTGTTGGGGAAAGTCCTGCGCAGAACAGAAGGCCCTCCTGTAATCCTGGGAACCTGGAGACCTTTTTCTTCCTCCTCCTCCTCCTCCTGCTGCTTTGCTACCTTCATGGATATAAATAACTGGCTGCTCTTTTACGGGATCCTCTACCTGGTGCTGTATGCCCAAGTTTCCCAGTCTAAGACTTGTGAAAGAACCCCGTGCTTTGCTGGTCGATGTGTCAATTCCAGTTGCCTCTGTGATCAAGGCTGGGTGGGGGATCAATGCCAGCATTGCCAAGGCAGGTTCAAGTAAGTGGTTTCTGTGCTATTTTTCCTTTCTAGAGCTAGTTGATAACAAGACAGAAAATATCAGCCAGGACTGCCCAGATCACATTGCAGATTTTAAGAATATAGTAGAATATTGGTGTTTGTTTCTGTAATATAAGGTCATCTATTATTCTAAGCTAAACAAAGTTAATGATATTTTTTAGAACAGTGCTTTTTAAATATTGCATAACATATTAGACAGTTTATTACTGACTGGAAAACCCTTATGGACTTTTTGCAAAGAACTGGAAAAAAAAATCAACCTGTAATATATTGGTTTTGATGAAGCATATTGGGTAGTTTATAGAAACAGTCATAATGTTATTTTACTCTATTTCTGTATTAATATTAAGATTAATTAACCTTCCTTGTTTTAAAACTTTCAATAAAATTATATTAAAAATGTATTTAAAAATTAAATAACTCTCAGACAAAGGTACTATTAAGTGAGAAATGCCCCATAAAGACAATGGTTTTGTTTATGATGTAATGTTTTTCTAAATATTGGTTGGTGTAATCAGCAATCTGAGAAATCTGTTTCTTAAAACTAAATGGGTGAGCCAAGGGTAAAGGAGGATTGACATCAAATATTGAGATCCCATGACTGTCTTGTCCATTTGTAGTAAATGATTTCTTCTTGACATACTAGTAAGCAGCCAGTTCAAAATTTAGAGACATCAAGTTGAAGATTAGCCTAGGAATAAAGTTACCAAATAAAGGTTGAGAATGTAAATTGTCTCCAGTCCTTATGGTCTGGGGTTTAACATTATGCAAGTTAATTTGTTGCTCCATGCTTTTTTGTTTAGTGATTTGTAAAAGGGGGTATACTTATGATTGGACACTGAACAGGGGCCTAAAACTTAATAGAATGTGACACCCATCTGATAAATAAAAGCCACATCTAACAAATAGTGAAAACCTGTTTTCCTGATTTTTTTTCCCCTGAGGAAAACCAGAATTTTAGGTGACAGCTTTAATATATATGTGAGAATTAAAACAAATGTATGTTTTTAAGATAAATCTTCAGTAGCATTCAGAACATCCAACTGTTGATTCTAATGTGATTCCTGAAAAAATATATTAATGTTAGATCTATATTTTTTTACTTCTGGTACTTCCTGCCATAATATGTGTACAACTTAGAAGATAATGAAAATATCCTTGAACATATTAAATGCAGTTATCTTGATTATTTCCTATATTTGCCACACACAATATTGAAACTGTCAGTGTGAATATTAAATCAAGTTTACTTGTAGATAACAATCATGATTTCTCCTATCAAAGCATTAGGATAATCTGACCATGTTCAGTGTTTAATTCTCCACTTGCAAAATAGCAAAAATGTTTTAAATAAGAAATTTTAGGGCATTGGCAAAAGAAAATAATAATGGATCTTTGCATATGTATTAAAAAGAGAGCATATGAACACTTGCACAATAGATTTGGAAACACTTTGCAACAACAAAAGGAAAAGAACCTATTGAGATGAATATTTATTCGGCAAAATCAAATGTTTGGTTATAGAGTTCTTCTCTTATCAATCCTAAATTTCATAAATTAACTTCATAGCACCTCAAAGTGACTTAATAAAGTATGGTTGATTATTTTTCTTCCTGATCATATGGAAGTCACCTGTTATTCATATTTAACAAAATATTGTGGCTGATTGTAAATGGATACAGATAAGATTTAGTCTGTATTCAGGATGTTATGTATAATATTTATTTGCTACTTAAAATGAGTTTCAATCTGATAATAAAGACAATTTCAAGTGCAACTTGAAATCATTGCAGCATCTTGAGAAGCCTACTCTGAATTAAGTTACTTCCTTATTTCAGTTAAAAACTGACAAATGATGTCAAACTCAAGCCATTTTTTTCCTGTCTAATTAACACCCTTCCAGTTTTTTGTTTAATATTTGTTTGAGAGTTACAAAGGCCTAAAAGTTGCAGGCTATTCTGTGTGGAGAATTTTTGGGAGGGGGATGTTACCATATCATGGCATTTGGAGTTTTATATCAATGTTTCTAAATAAAAACATCATTTTAATGTACATTTACTATAGAGCTTTGCTATTGTGATTGGTGCTTCTTAGTATGCTGTTGTGTGAAAGCAATTTAGTCTGAAAAACGTATATCTAAAATTTGAACTTGAGTGAATATCAAGAAGGTGAATATATACTGTACTAAAAATGACTGCATGCTAAACAGTTGATTTAAGTTGAATGCACGATTACTCTAAGAATGATAAATAACTTAGGTTAACTGTATAGTATGGAAGCATAGAAATCATAGATAGATTTTGTGGAAGTGATGAGTTAGTATTATGAATAGAATAGCTTGTGAAGATTACTTCTGCTACTGTTGCAAAGGTTATCTCTATCTCATAGCTTGTACAATTTAACAGGGTTATCAGACTTCAGAGAGCCTTCTTGGAGATGGAATACAGGATACTGCGATTTAGAACATTTAAACTACGCTATAGATATAGAATAGGAAAAATGATCTAATTGTGAAAATGTTTTGTTGTAAATGCATTAAACATAATGTCAGACCCACATGTTGGTATTTTAAGGTGGATTTTAAACTGTCTTATTTTTTACTTTTGAAAATATAAATATTGTGAATCTTTCATTTTGATGGATAGTACATACAGTTTAATAGAATTTTAAGACATTTAATTTAAGCCTTGGATTTATTCTATGATTTGTCAATGGATTCAATATGAGAATCTCATATTTTCCATTCTCAGATATAAAGTGGTGTATAATTAGCGTAGATCATTGTGAAGTGAGTGATTGACATTAGCAAACACTACTGGTATTTATACTCAATATTGATCATCAATCTGGGCAATAGGGTGTGTTAATTCTCATGTCAGTTTTTGTTTTTAGTTGAAAAAGAATATCTTAGTAGACTTATCAGCAATGATTGATCAATCTTGATAAGCATGTGTCAAATATAATTGACATGAAAATGTGTCATTTCCCCTACAGGGAATTTGTTAATAAATAAAATTATTCTTTGAAAAGTGCTCTGAAAGGGATGAATGTCAAGTGATTAAAAAAGAAGCAGTTTGGTTCAAAGTATTAAGAGTTTCCTGCATGTTTTTTGGAACAAATAACATTGTTTATTGACATGCTACATTTGTAACCATTCCCTTGAAATGTCAAATGTAACTGTGTCAAAACTTAATGAAACTTTGGCTTGGAGTGAGGCAAAGGGAAAAGCTAAATTTTGAAATAAACGTATGAGACTAATATTAAAAATAAATATAAACCTTCAGGTTCTGGTAAATATTATGAAGGTTTGCGACTCTTTCCAATCAATTTGGACTTAGAAAACATACCTCTTTTCTGTCAGTTCCAAATGATAATTTTATTTTATTAATTTTTTATATCACTTATCTGCCCTGTAAGGTGACTCTTTGATGTCCAAGAGATATAGAAATCTAGTCAATCAATCAATCAGAATAGAGCTAAAAGGGACTTTGGAAGTCTTCTAGTCCAAACTACCTGCTTAATCAAGAGACCCTATGCCATTTCAGACAGGCGGCTGTCCAGTCTCCTCTTTAAAAACTTCAGTGATGGAGCACCCACAACTTATGGATGCAAGGTGTTCCACTGGTTAATTGTCCTCACTGTTCTCCTTAATTCCAGGTTTCCTCTCTCTCTGATTAGTTTTCATCCATTGTTTCTTGTCTGGCCTCCGGGTGCTTTGGAAAATAAGTCAATCCCTGCCTTCTTTGTGGCAGACCCTCAAATACTAGATTACTGTTATCATGTCCTCCCTAGTCCTTCTTTTCTGTAGTCTAGCTATACCCAAATCCTGCAACAGTTCATGTGTTTTAGTCCCCAGGCCTTTAATCATCTTAGTTGCTCTTCTTTGCACAAAGTTTCAACATCTTTTTAATAATGAGGTGAACAAAACAGGATATGGTATTCCAGGTGTGGTCTGGAATACTTCATCCAGTTTTGGTAACCAACAGTTAGACTCAGACTACACTAATAGTCAGATTCCTGTTAGGCAGTTCCTGCTTCTCCTATTGCTATGTTTTCCATCCTGCTGCACCCACTCTTCCCTTGGATACCCAAGAGAGTATTAACTGATCAACGGTTTACTTATTTCAAATTTGCTTCTTAAAGTGTCCAAGGATCCATGTGGGTCTCCATTCTCAACTACTTTGCCAGGATAAAATATTCGAAGTATTAGTAAAGATGCAAAAAAAATATTGGCAAATCACTTAATATTTCAAATTTAATAGTACAGGTACTCCTCGACTTACAACAGTTCATTTGAAGTTACAATGGTATGAAAAAAATGACTTATGACCATTGTTCACACTTATGACTGATGCAGCATCCCTATAGTCATCTGATCAAAATTCACACTCTTGGCAACTGACTCATATTTATGACGGTTGCCTTGTCCCAGGATAATGTGATTAACTTCTAACAAGCAAAGTCAATGGGGAAGCCAGGTTCACTTAACAACCATGTTACTATCCTAACAGCTGCATGATTCACTTAACAACTGTGGCAAGAAAGGTTTGTAAAATGGGGCAAAATGTCTCGCTTCGCAATATAAATTTTGGACTCCGTTATGGTCATAAGTCAAGGACTACCTGTATTTGCAGCATTAAAAATGTTATATAGAATGAAAGGGGATTGTTTTATTTACTTATTAAAATATTATACTGGAAAGTTCTTTTTATATATTCTTGAGTGCAGAAATAGAATGGTATACGTTGGATCTAAAATAAGTTAAAACACAATATCTTGGAGGGCAATCTGATAATTGGCACATTTATCTCTTTATTAACCAGACCAAATGTATGAGAAAGTGCTAATTATCCAATAATAAAATCTATCTTTCTTTTGTAATGGAAATGGGTCAACTTCTAGAGGAGTTTTCTAGACCAGATTTTTCTAGATTAAAAAACAAGTAACCATGCATGCAAGGGTGTTTTCTATGTCATTAA